TGAATCTAAATGAACCAGGGCCCCATTTCACAAAACTTGTCATCAGTGACAAATGACAGTTTTTGTTAATATGAGCTAGTGAAATCCTTGCTTCTGATTGGTTATCAGCAGATTTGTTACTGAAAAAAGGCTTTGTGAAACTGGTCCCGGGTGACCTGAGAGCAGATTCTAAAAAAATCTGATGCCATGAAACCTGTTGGGGGAGGCCCTTCATAATGGGAAACAGGAATAAAGTGTCAACTGTACACGTAGATGTAGATATACTAGAGAGATGGCCTTTCTGGACAGGCTCAGCTTCACTTATTTATAGTCGGGTAGTCTTTGGCAAGGCATTTATCTACATTTGCCACTCCATACCCCAGAGATAAATGGGGACCCGGTAGGATGACTAAATTATTTGTGTTAGTAATTGCCTATGCCCTAACAGTGACTATATGGTAGGAATGCTCCCCAGGGAGTGGAGAAGGTGCACATTGTGCGTGAATGAATCCAATGACTGGGGTAATAATATCTGTAAAGTGCTTAGAGACAGTATTCCGTATTACTGGTAAGCGCTATATAAATCCAGATTTGTATTATTATTATTTATTGAGAGATGGCCGCTAACAAAAGGTTACATTGTAGAATGATCTGAGGGGAAACGAATCCTAATAATAGTAATATAAGTGACATCATGACATGTATGTTGTTGGTTTGTCAGCTAAAATGGTTTTGTTTGTTCACATCCTCCTACGCCACTACTTGAGAAATATTTCCTCAAGGGATTTTACACGAAGCAGCAGATCATAAAGAGATCAAGTCCCTTACCAGTCTTCTTGTGACTGTGCTTCAAGGAAAATTTCCTTTTCTGATTTGAATTCAGATTATTAAGTGAGCTTTGAGTGGCAGTATAAATATGAAGGGTTGCATCCGGCTGAATGTATGGTCATAGCTCTAGGATATGAGTTGATGGACAGGACTTACAATAGGCCTGCCTTCACTAGCTCGAGATTGCCAAATATCCTGCTATTTGAACTATCACGATCGCAAACTATCCAGCTAATTTGCGTCTTCATCAGCCCGAAGTTGCAATTAGTGGGATATTTGGTCGGGTTTGTCATCCCAAGATATCTTAGGATAGTTTGCAAAATATCCCACTATTTGGCAAAATATCCAGCCATTGACTTGCACTATGCGCAAACGCTGAGCAAAATATATCGAGCTAATTTCTCAAGGTCGAGTTTCAAGTTTTCGAGGTCGAATCTCGATGAAGATGCAATTTGTAACTTCAGGATTATTTCCCAAATCAGAAATAGCGTGCTATTTGGCAATCTCGAGATGATGAAGACGCGTCTAATAAGCCGTTCATCTGTTACCTTTGACCATCCTCCAGGGGTAATTTAAAGTCGTGTCTTGGTTGCTCAATATCCCATATATCAACTGTAAAAATCTTGCAGTTATTTATTGTTCCAGGTTTGTGCTGTATACTTTGCTTTATATGACCACCACAAGTGATGTTAGCAATCGTCTAGGTTACGCGGCTAGCCAATGCTCATGTAAATGAAACTTGAAGTGAGTGCTTTCATGGAAATATTTTGTTATGGTGATATTATCCTACATGTTTTGTATTACATCTTCATTGCTTCTGACTTTTAAGGATTAGAATTGCCTTTGGTTTGTTGGGTTCTGATCTTTCTCCAGTCTGTCTGGGAGTTACAATATGGCAATCACTTGCCCCCCCTCCCCCCCCCCCCCCCCCCCCCCCCCCCCCTGGCCACAGAAAGAAGAAAAACAACAGGAGAGAGAACAAAAGCAAAAAGACTTAGAGGAAATAAGGGTGCAAAAATAGTATAGAAATAATGACTGCTATGAGAGACATAGTTGTTCTTATACGTTCAAGGGGAGTTTACATCACGTGCTATCGCCCCGAGGGGTGCCGAGGGGTGATAGCACGATGTAACCTCCCCAAGGGGCTATAAAAACAACTATGCCTCAAATATTAAAGCAGTCATTATAACTTTTATATACCGAAATGGGTCATACATGTGCGACTCACCAATCATGGTAATCCAGTTTTTTTACGCTATTGAGACCTAGTCTTAATAGGGTGTCTGATCTCGCACACTCGAGTTTGAGTGCTATTAATAGTCTTGTGAATGTTTACTTCATCCACCGAGTACAAACACCCACCCGTGCACAGGAGGTTGCCGGTACCCCCTCCCACTATAGTTTGCCATTACAGAATCTATTTTGACACTTTACAACAATTCCTAAAGCCTTGAGCAGAGCCTAACTCTGTCAGTCTCCAGTCTGTGTACAATACAGAGCCTATGCAGTATGCTGTCTGTCAGCCTAGTCTCACAGTGCAGACAGGGGTCTGTGGCTGCAGACTACTCCCAGGCCCTGGTTACTGAGATGAGTGTTGGTGAGCTGCAGAGCTTGAATGCTATCAAGATGACTTTCGGTTGTCAGTATCATGAAAAGGAAATTGAGATATTTTTCACCATCTTCATCTGACTGGTATCTCGCTCATGATCGATCTTCATTACCACCCTCTTCATCATCCTCTTCATCATCCTGTAAGTGATGCGCTTCTTTTGTGCCTTGTCCGAATGACCTCTCATGTTTTTGAGTGGTACATTTACACCCAGCTCCCTTCTCACCTAACGCAGGGAATATTTAACCTATTTTCCTCAGGTAGCGGAAATCAGACAGGCCTGTGCTAGAAATTCCTTTGTTTTTCTTAATTATCGCCCGCAAAAACTCATTCTAGAAGCTGTAGGGACACATGACATCTACTGGAGCCAGAAAGGCTTTAACTTCTGTTTTTTAACAAAGAGCTAACACCCCTCTGGCCCTCAAGAGATAAGTACAAATCAAGTAAAACGCCATGGGCAGGGTAGTGGTATCATGTACATGTATGTATTTTGAATGCAAGAAAACTAGTTTTGGATTGTCGTGTTGTGATCGTCCTAGATTGTGCTTGCTTAGCTTACTTTCTCATAACATGATAGCGTCTGTTTGGAGCCAGAGGGTGTTGTTCCTATCCCTTTATCACTGTGCTAATGCCCTTTTGGCTTTGACGAGATGATGTGATGAGAGGGAAAAGGAGAAGAGAAAAAAGAAGAGAATGTTTTGTTGAAGGTAAATGGAGAACCAGAGTGTGTGTTGGTGAAGCAAAGCAAGAGATTATAGTATAGAGGTTGACAGAGAGAGGGGGAGGGGATAGGGAGGAGGTGGGGGAGGGAGACGGGGAGAGAAAGAGACAGACAGAAAGAGAGAGAGGGAGAGAGAGAGAGGGGGGGGGGGAGATGAGAGGGAGTGGAACGAGGGAGTAGAGGGAGGGGGGGTGGGGGAGACAGACATAAAGAGACACAGAATAAGAAAAGAGAGGGGGGAAGAGTTAATGTATTAGTTCTGTTATTGTCCTCTTGGTAATAATTGCAGGTTTAATTTCATAGTTTGGTTTTACAGTGTATTTACCAACCATATCAACTAAATTTTGAAATTGATCAAACTTTAAAAAAAAAATTGAAAGCGGTTACTGTGCTTACGTGTACGTGTATATCCAGTTCTAGACTATTTGTGCAGTCAAGGCTAATTTGAAATTCAGCCATTATGTATTTTAATTACTCATATTTGGTGACAAATTTGATATAGTTCTCTGTTTTGAGTAGCTGTTATCATATTTCTGCAGGTATCTCATTCGGATACTACATGTAGTTGTACTAGTCACTCAATACATCTAAAGGAGCTATTGGTTTGTGTGTGATACACCCTTTCCCAATCACTTCAAAACAGTTCCTCTCCCAGTGCAATCGCTTGACCGGAGCTCTACTGAATCGTTATCGTTGATTCTTCCCTTTAAACTCTTGTCTCTAGTATTCTCAATGGGATAGCCAAGTGGTCAGCTCAGCTTGAGAGAGGTTTGAGCGATAGCCCAGAGGCCCAATTTAAGGATTTCTCTTTCAATGTTTTTATTCTAAAATCAAGTACGACATTGACAAAAATACACTTTAGATTCACATGGAACAATACAGACCATAATCATTAAAATATTACTGTGATTGTAGGTTCAGCGACTGTCTGACCTTTTATCAAATGGAAATGATATGCCTAGGGGTGTTTCACAAACAGCCTTTTCACACACAGCTAAAATTCTATAAACATGATTAGTATAAACGTGTTTTGAACGTGTTTAAACTAATCACGAGCCTTTCACACACAGAAATTTCGTTGCGATCGTTAATAGTTTCGTGATTAACTACTGCTCGTAAAATGCGCAGTAGTGCCATTGCGCATTGAAGGTCATGTCATGTCAATCAAAGCGCACGCTTCATCCAGTTTAAACACGTTTAAACACGAATTTCCTTTCACACACAAAATGTCAAGCTCTCTAGATACGAACTTCGTATCTGCAGCCTGCTTTTAGGGGCGTATGGATCGCGACTTCGTATCTATCCCAACATCGTATAAACGATGTTCACACTGGGAAATTTTGTCTATAAACATGTTTAAAACTGTTGAGTGATTCTAATCATCTCTAGATACGATGAATTTTAGCTGTGTGTGAAAAGGCTGTTGATCCCAAGTTGATTTTATCTCTAAGTTAGACTTAACAATTATGGAAAGCCGTTAGCATCTCTGAAAATATTTTGTACAAGTTATTTCAAAGGGCATAAAATGTTGATTCAAATCATTCATATATTCTATTATCAAGGAGATTTCATGTTCTTGATGTGAAATTAACGAAAAGTCTAAAATTCTGGAATCTTTGCCTTTGAATAATATTTTTCTAAAGGCTACAGATGTTTGTTCATAATGTTTAAGTCTAACTTAGAGTTAAGGTCGACTTAGGATCTTTGTGAAACACCCCTCGTGTCTTGTGTATGCCCTGCTATCCTATGATTCTTATGAGGCACTTCTAAAATCTAAATAAAGATTTATAATTGAAGATTCTTCTTTTCTGAAATGCCATTAAAAGGGCTAATGTGTACGGAGGATGCTGAGCTAGCCAGACAGCCAGTCACCCTCAGGCTGTTGTATTAACTCAAACCTCTACACTAAATTAGACCCATATTCAAAGGCCTGTTTTCATCAGACCAAGTTGGCCATATAGCCCGCTCTTTTGTTACAAATCACGTTTTCATCAGCTCGAGCTCGAGCTCAAGAAATATGCTCAGTGTTCACGCATACTGTAGTGCGAGTCTTTGGGCTAGTGAAGATGGACCACAAATGGCGGGCTAATTTTGCAAACTAGCCCAAGATATCTTGGGAAGATTTCCCGAGCAAATAGCCCGCTAATTTCCCGGATCAGAAATAGCGGGCTATTTGACCAACTCGGGCTGATGAAGACAGACCTATAGGATGTAATTCCACTCTACATGTTAGTAGGAGGGTTCAGCTGATTTTCAGGGCAATCATGTTAGCCTACATCAAGAACTCTTCAACGTAACATTCAGATTTAAGAGACATGGATGAGGAGCTGTAAACAAAACTCTTCCACATTTAACATTAAAGGGATCGTTTAATAATGTTAAATCTGAGATGCACGGCCCGACATGTTATCAGTGTCTGTGATTTGGTGTTATATTGAAGCCCTAAAAAAAATTGCGCTTCTAAATGATCATGAAGTGCCTCCAAAAAGTAAAAACCTCTGAGTGACCGGTTTTACCATACTCGTTTTCCACAATAGACTGTAGTGTTATGAAAACCATTTGGCAAACGCAAAATTTGATTTTGATTTTCAATCATAAATATCTTGATAATCAGACAGGCGATCGGCTTGTAAAAGTCATGGGGTTCCTGACTGACTTAAAGGTTTACAATTACCATTGCAGCATGAGCTAAATCAAGGATTTTTTAAAAGGATCTAAAACGAAGTTACCGGATCCCTTTAAGAGACGTATAGTTACAGAGCAGTAAAAAGAACCACAAATACGTGGGTGTAATAAGGAATGTATAGCTCATGAAGCAACAAACCTTAAAAGGTCTTCTTTTTTGTTAACAGAAAGAAAAAGCAAACATTGAACATTTGAAATAAGCTTTTGTGGTGAAATATCAATTTCATAAATGCAAATAAAAAACATCTTGTGAAACAATGTTTTTCTATCAAACCATGGCAGAGCTTTTAGTTTGCGTAAAGCCTCTCTAAAGTGTTGGGAGCCCAACAAGTTTGATGGCAAACATCACTTCAATTGTATAATGAATTGAAATAGGATATCGTTAAACACCGACTTCTGCAAGGATTTTTCAGAATAAATGTGTTTGAGGATGAATATTGATAAAAGAATGTACAAGGTAAATACTTGAGGTTTCCTGCATACAACACAAAACCCAAGTTTGTTATTCTTTCACCAATATTTGTCTTCAAACGCGTTTGTTTTGAAAATCCTTGCAGAGCTGAGTGTTATATGACATCCTCTTTCACATCATTACACAATTTAAGTGAAATTTTGCCATCAAATTTGTTAGCGAATTTGGGGCTCCCAACACTTTAGAGGGACTTCAAGGCACAAATGGGGCCAGTCACCACGAAATGAGTCCAGTGTCGCATTAGGCTCAGTCGTAGTAATAGCGATGTATAGTGTGTATGTACTGAAAATTGACCCACCTACCACATTTAAGATTTTTCCAAAGATTGACTTATTATTTCTTTGTTTGTTGAAAGTTTCATTGAAATCGAATGATGGGAAGTGTGTTGTTGCTATGTTGTTGTTGACCAGACTATAATATGTTACGCATCATTAACTTTACACCTAATTATCTCAAAACTGGGTAATCCCATTGTTATAAAGTCCAATTAGGTTTTTGTTCATATTTCTGGATATAATTTATCAATTTTAATGTGTGACCCCTTAATTTAAAGCTTACTTAATGTAGATTCATATAATACTTAAAAACAGGAATAAAATTTTTGACCAACTGGACTCATTTCGTGGTGACAGGCCCCAAATATCTCATTTAGGTAACATAAAGACACATCTTTTCATGAGTCTTGGTTTTTAATCAATATTCATGCAACAAATGAAGGCTATCTTTGCTCTGCCTCACCATGCGTTTATATGTTGCTTGAACAAAACCTCAAAAACAGCCTTCCATGGTTATAAACATTTCAATCTGTTATGATAGTCATAATTGATTGAATCATCAATGAAACAAAATACATATTGGTGTCGGGGTGACCAATAAATCCTTCCTGAATATGTTTTGTTTTCTAATTAAATCCAACCATTCCCAAGCACATGTAGAGATTATTCTTTCATAAGTGTATCCAAAACAATCAGGAAATCTATGAAATTTCTTCTCATTAATTTTCTCTTCTACTAGCACTATGCTTTAAAGAGAATGTTGAGTTCTGGGAAAAGGTAAAAAAATAATTTGTGAGCGTTATCAATGTTATTATGCAAGGGTGGAAGAACATCAGATTAAACATGTTCCCTGAAAAGCATGGCTCTTCAAATGCCTTCATATTCTAAATACGACATGAAACATCGTAAAAATTGGGGGGGAAGGGGGTAGGTTTTTTTCGCCATGTGCTCGTGCAGTCCCATATGCATCATTCTGTGTACAGTGCTTGTAACTTTGCCAAGATTTGGCCAAATTCTTATCATTTTGATGATTCCAGAACCTTGCAATACACACAAATATATACTAGATGATCAACCTTTTCTGATAGATTCCACACTGTTTTTTTCACAATGCAATCACGTGACTAGAACTTAACTTTATCTTTAAGTAGTCGAGTGAATTGCTTCAGGTTTAGTAAGATATTGTGTTTTGTCTTCACATTGTTGTAACATGCCTTTGAACACAGCCCTATATATTCACATTCTTACTGGCGCTATTTGAATTTTGTCAAAAGTTTTTACTCCAGTTTAAAAAAAAAAATTAATCTCAAGTTATTCCTTAGTTTCATGTTGTACTATTGTACTAAGCCTCACTGGGAACTACGCCATACAAGTTTTTATAAACTCCAGAGAGGAACCATGTTTGCCTCAAAGGAGGCTTTGACATTTTTACAAGATTGCAAGGATGTTTAGGAATTGACAAGAAAATACAAGAGAGAAGACCAATTATCAAGATTTCAATTTCATGAATTTAATCATGCTAATGACATAATGTCATCATCGCCTGTGGGGGAATTCCCTATGCACTGACTCCCATGTGTTGATGTGCCTATAGGGGACTTCCCTATTTACCAAGTCACATGTGATGATGATGATGATGATGATGATGCGCCTATAGGGAAATTCCCTAATCACGGAGTCCCATAGGCTGATGTGCCTATAGGGGGAATACCCTGTTATTTGAGTCCCATGTGGATGTACATGTACTTTCAATGCTTGATTTGAGGACAATTGAATTCATAGGATTATTTGAAATGCCATTAGCATTGTATAAATCTATGTCTGCTTTGTAAGGGGTTTAATGAACTTCAGTCTACTTGAAGCAGAATGATGAAAGGTATATCAAATGAGGAGAGAAAAAAGAAATAATCTATACATTTAGTAGGAGAATGAAAAATGAGAATAGGCAAAGAAGAAGGATAAGGAGTTACATGTGAGGATGAAAAGAGAGAAGAAAATATGAATAATGAAGAAGCAGAGGAAGATGGTGTATATTAGATTATTAGAAGGTGTCCTGGGCCCCATTTCACAAAACTTGTCATCAGTGATGAATGATAGATTTGTTACAAGCTATTGAAATCCTTGCTTCTGATCGGTTATCAGCAAATTTGTCACTGATTTTTTGTTGTCATTTGTCATTGAAAAAAATGTTTGTGAAACGGGTCCCTGGTATAGTGGTTCACTCATTTGATTCACTTGAATCTCAATCCAAGGGTAGAATCTCAGCCCGGTACTAATGTACTTTGGCAAGACATTAATCCACACTCTGCCCAGGCACCCAGGTATGAATAGGTACCAGGGCTGCTGGGGTAATACTAATTGCAGGGCCCTCGGGAAGAACAGCATGAATTTTTTATATTTATTTATTCATTCATAGCAACCAAAGGGTTGGATTGATAATACATACATTTTCAACATGGTTATGAACATAATTAAATTGAGTACAATAAAATTGATAAATTATGAAAATAAATACATGTAGATCATTACAAAGAACATTACAAATCATTCAGTTATATCATATTACAAATAAATAAATAATTACAAGAAGAAAAAAAAAAGAAAAAAAAAAAGAAAAAAGAAAGCTGATGAGGGTTTCCTGAGTAGTCTGATTTTGGTTCTATGACAAACATGTTGGTGACAATTGCTACATGGCCAATTTCCTATACCATACCGAATTCTTGACATCAACTCTGGGTAAAACATTATGCCGAAACCTAACCCCAACCTTAACCTAAACCCTAGCCCTAACAAATGCTAGATTTTGGAAAACCACCCATCATCTTGGTTGATGATCTTAATAACGTTTCTATTTACTGATGATACTTTCTTGTCTTCCATCATAACAGATCTATCTGAGATCGTGGGCCAAGGACTTGGGTGTACCTATCGTCTCTATAGACTACTCTCTGGCTCCTGAACAACCCTTCCCTAGAGCCTTTGAAGAATGCTTCTTTGCCTACGCCTGGGCCGTCAAGAATGCACCTTATCTTGGTAAGATTTGTTATCATTAACTTCTCTTGTTTAATTTGTGTACTGCTGGTCGATCCTTCAAATCTAAAATGTACCTTATTTATAGTCATTGGTTGTGTCTGCTTAGTCATATGTATTCTTTTAAATGAAGATCAGCCTTCATGTATTAAAAGAAACATAGGATTCTCTCGGCTCAGAGTTCTCACAAAGGTAAATGAGCTACGATCAAGTTGTATGTATTACAAGATTGATCTAACGCGGAATTGCACAGAAATTGTTTATAGTTTTTGGTCAAGTGCACCTCTGTACCTGAAAGCATCCATGCATGTACATGAGAGGACTGGCAATACTTCAAATGAATTTTCAAGTTATTTGTTGTGTTAACATTGTAGGGTCTTGTTATTCATTGTCTTTATATTCAACATTCATTTTGTTTATTCTGTTGGATCAAATTACTTTAAGAAAAAATTAATCTCAAATTATTCCTTTCATTTTGTATGATTAATTTTTTTATATTTTTAAATTTTTTTCTAGGATCGACAGGAGAGCACATCTGCCTGGCAGGAGACAGTTCTGGTGGTAACCTCTGCACAGCTGTAGCTATGAGGGCAGCATCCTACGGTATCCAGGTACCCGATGGGATCGTCACCATGTATACACCCTTCGCGGTTCATCACTCCGCATCCCCATCCAGACTACTGTGCCTTCTAGATCCTCTCTTGCCGTTTGGGGTTCTGATGCGATGCCTCTCGGCTTACGTTGATCTCAAGGAAGAGTTCATGACGGAGGAGAAGGTGACGTCCATGGTGGACAACGCCAACGATCGTATCCTGGGATCCCCGAAGAGGTCTTCCATGAAGTCAGGTGAAGGTTCACCGGTCGTTGGAGAGAAAGAAGAGAAGATTGAAGAGGAGGAGAACGGTAACAGTACTAAAGTGACCACACCCACGACAACGAAGGAGGGGGTCAACGGTGACATCATCGTGCCACCACCATCGGACAGCGTCTCTTCGTTCATGGAGGAGGTACCTCCAACAGACATTGAGAAGTTAGAGCAAGTCAGTGATGCCATTGACAATGCAACGATAGGTCAAGGTGACGGTCAAACAGACACCAACGGTGAGCAGTCCAGTCCTGAAGCCATCGCCATCTTTGACCCTTCTCATCCTCCCAATACAGCTGATCATCCAAACAGTCTTCCTGCAGACATAGATGCCATCTCGTTGGACTCCAAACCTGAAGCGGATCGTGAGGAGGAGGACGAGGAGGACTCCGTGCCTCTATCACCAAAGAGCAGAGAAGATCTCCACCTTGATCTCAAAGAGGAAGGATTAGCAGGAGATGAAGAAGTCCAGACACCCACGTCCTTTGTGAATTCCCCCATCAGGGTGTTTAAGGACGCCCCTATCATGAGGAATCCTTACGTGTCGCCTCTCTTCTCCGATGAAGAACTTCTCAAGGGCCTTCCTCCCGTCCACATTATCGTAAGTCACTTCCTTTCTTAACCAATTGTAGGGTGCCATGTCTTTGGACAGTTGCCATTTAACCTTCAAGAATTAAGATTTGACTACTACTGCTGCCATTGCTGCTGCAGACTTTGCTGCTTTTGTTTACATTGTGAAGCCTTATCAGCATCAGTGTTGTTTTTCCTGATACACCTGCACTAGACCAGTTCGTAGTTAGCACATGGGTCATATGACCCCAAATTTCCACATATCTTTTAAACATAGATGAATCCAACTTTGTGCCTTTTGGAATAATCACAGCTAAAGTCATGGAGGTGATTCTTTGTTTGCCCTCTTGAAAAGATTACTTCCACCTGTGTTCAAAAGATTGCATCACAGGTCCATGCATGAATAATGTTTACATATCTTTCGTGAGCATGTATCCAGTATGAGTCTCACTGGGTTTTACAATTTTGTTCAAGTGACCTTTATCTGCGCATGCTCAGATTGTATCTACGAACTGGTATATTATCTTTACCCCAGTAATTGCCAAGTACCCATTTTTATGCAATGATGGAGAGTGGCAAATGTTGATTAATTGTCTTGCCAAATGGTGTTATTACCAGGCTAGATTTGAACCCTCAACCCTTGGACTAAGAGCCAAGTAAAGGAACCACCACACAGCCACACAAACTGGAAGTCAAATTTTCATTTTGGCAACACTCCCAAATATTTCATGCTTTTTTTTGCCAATGAAAAAAAAAGTTAAACGATTGTTTCAATGGTGAAGGATATGAAGAAAAATAACATGTTGTTGTCTCTGTGTTAGAGGGGCATTGATATCTACCTGAGATATGAACATCTCATTAGAGTAGTTCTGGGTTTATAGGAAGAAAATAAAAGATTTTTTTCACTCTTATCCTGAACACATTTTTTGAGCACTTAATTTCTTGGGTAGAATCTAGTGAACAGCATGGAAGGGGCTTTGCCAAGATGCTTTTACTTTCTCCAGATTGTAATGAAAGAGAAGGTTGAGTTCTGGGAAGAGGTAAAAAATAAGTTGTGAACGTTATCATTGTTATTATGCGAGGGTGGAAGAACATCAGATTAAACATGTTCCCTGAAAAGCATGCAGATTGTAATTAAGTTATTGCACAAAGCTATCCTTATCCATTTTCTTTTCTATTTTCCTCATTTCTCCTGACAATAAACTGTCTGATTGCCTATATCTGAGAGGCATTGTCTGTCAAGTGAGAGACACTTTGGCTGCCTACTTAGGCAAGAACATTTCTATAGGGCCAATATTGAATTGAGATGAAGTGGGGAGGATAAAGGCAGGACTTGTAAAACAGCATCTTGCGTTAGGGTCGCTTCCATCACAGATGATGCTTCTCACCAATGTGCAATTAACAAACTATTGTTCAAAAAAATTGAAAAAATTGGATGTTACTTCACTTAAGTGCCTAATGATAATAAATAGAGTCTCTGGTCACAGTTAATGCTTCTCACAAATGTGCAATGAAAACTAGTCCTTTATCAAACAGAATGAAGACAGTATAGGTACTCTCAAATTGAATTGCACAAAATAATTACTTTTCTTTGATATTTGTGCAGATGGCATTGTGTTAACAAGTTCCATTGAAATACAAGTACCTTTCACTGAAATAAAACATGAAAATATATTCATGAAGTTTTTAGAAAAACACTAAAGGATTTCATAATTAGTCCTGGCTGCGAGAAAAAGAAGAAAGGATCTGTATACTACAGTACTACGATAGGTGATTGAGCATTTGCTTGTGCAGCCCCAAAACTCTGGAATAACTTGCCATTTGAAGTCAGGAAATCACCATCTGTAAATGTCTTTAAATCGAAACTGATCACACATCTTTTTAATTAACTGTAAATCCAAGCATATCAGGAGCTCTTGTAGCGTAGTAGAATGTATACTTCATGTTGGATAGTTTCTGCGCTCTATAAATGTATTATTATTATTATTATTATTATTATTATTTGATCATGTTTTAATGATTCTCCTTTACTTTGTGTCTCTGACAGGGTTGTGCTTTAGATCCGCTGCTAGATGATTCTATCAGCTTTGCTAAGAAGCTTCGTGGTATGGGCAAGCCTGTGTTCTTAGAGATCGTCAATCAGCTTCCTCATGGCTTTCTCAACTTCTCAACGGTCGGTAAGGAGTGCAAGGAGGCTTCCATGGTGTGTGTGAGGCATATCATGCATGTACTCTACGGTTTCCAGGACAACGATTTTGAGAATTTAGGCGACTGATTTAAAATAGCTAGTGGAGCTACAAATCCAGAGAAAATGTCAAAAAGTCATTCTAAATTGTTTATCATGATGTGTTAGCGTGTGTTGTTTTGATTAGATGAATGTAAACAAAAGTGTAAAAACCTCACTGACAATTGTCATACGGTGGATTCACTAACACAGATATGCCTGAATGGGACTATGTATTCTATTGCCGGCCACAAGTAGACTGATTTATCAATCTTACTTTGCTTATCACTGAGCTACTGTAGGAAACATATTATTATTATATATATTTTTTTCATGGGGGGGGGGGGGGAGAGAGAATGTGAGGGCTTAGTATACCATATGTGAACAAGTGTTTGCTGTAATTGAGTAAGATGGGGTATTAAACACATAGGCATAGGAGCCATGGGAAGACCAGTTGACATCCATACTGTAGTTCTCATTGTACAAGATTTAAGCTGAGACACGCTTAAACCTGAAATTTAGTCAAAGACAACCTCCTTGTGCTATTAAAGCCAATGGTATTCAAGATTTCATCTAACTTGTTGAATTAGAGATTATGATAGGCTAATTACAATCAAGTTTCCTTAATCACCAATTGAATGAAAGGCTTTGCTTGGCCAATCAAAATTGGTGTTTCTTGTGATTTATCAAATGAAGGATTCTGATTAACCAATCAAAATGGATGTTTGGTGTGACTGGTTGAAAGAGAGACTCTGATTAGCCATTCAAAATGGATGCTCCTTTAACTGACCAATCAGCAGAGGTTTCATGAGACGTACGTGTAGTGGAGCTTTGCCAATTTGTAATTTGAGTTTAATCATAACTCAACATCCCCTGTCGTTTGAAGGGATCAGATCCCCACCGAAAAAAGACAAAAATCTTAAACTTTCAGATTATCGTTTATTGTACATTTAGCATTGACCTCACTGCCTTGACATCATTTTTCTCTCATCTGAACAATGAGTTCCTGGGGTGACAAATATTTCTCAAATTTAGAATTTAAATGCAACAAAAACTTCTTCTACTGTCCTTCAACGTAAAAATATTCTAAAGTTTACCCCCGTAATGAGGCACTGCCCCCTTAACCCCCATTTAATATTCCTCCTTTTTGGGGCACAATGCACACACACATATGATTGGTTTTATACTGTACATTGGATATTACTCAGAAGCATATAAAAAGGATGAATTTGCTAAGCAATACAGCTTAGCCTTTGTGGATAGATTTATTATCTTATTTGATATGTAGACATTGTAGATGAGAATCAATATCACTTTATTACAGCTGCCTTGATTATATTTATTTTTTCTCAAGTTTGAAATAAAGACAAATATTTTATATATTTATGCATGCAAGAAAATATTTCTGAATGATACAATCTGTAATTCTATTATATATTCATACTTTTACATTGTGTTTTTCTGTATAATTTGGTTCTGTGAGCTTAAGGGAGAATGTAAACATATTTTCAGCTCTGTAAATTTCATTTTGTTGATTTGTATTAAGAGATGCAAGTACATAATGTATTCTGTTTGAACTTTTGATGATACTTGGGAATGTTTCAATATCTTTTGCAATGTTGTGTTTTGCAGATGAAGCACATACTATTGTGTTCTATTTTTTGGGAGATTTTCTTATTTATTGCCTTAAACCGTGAGCATTTGGTGTACATGTTTATTTTTTTACAAGCAATTATGTTATTCTCATGAATCTATGATTGGCAATATGATTAAAGGCAAATTATTTCTGTAAATGGACCATTTTCAAAATGTATTCGAAAAGCGCCTCAGTACAAACCCTCAAGAAAGATTACCGAGAGTCCTTTTCAGGACTCTCCAATCCTCCCTCTCTCTCATATGGTGCACCCGCAAGCCTACTGTATATTCAAACTTATACACAATTTCTTCAAAACAAGCTATTACATTCACCTGTATATTATTATCTCAAAAGTCAGAATGCAAATTCCATTATTTAGTTGTTGCTGGCCGGACACATATTTTGGCTTGCCCTACCTAGCAACACATACTACATCCAATTTACATTCTGCCTATTGTAACTGGTGAATAGATAGTTTGTACTGAGGCACTTAGGAAAGATGTACCTGTATACATGCATTACATTTGGTAACATTGTGAAAATGGTCTATTTAAACATTTTCAAATGTTGAAACATTTTATTGACAGATGTGTCTTCTTCTTCGTGTTAAATTCTGTTCAATAAGAGACCTTTGCAGGTATGACTCTGCGTTATAAAGGTATATATGTAAACAAAAATGATATTAATTTGAGGATAAAAAATGGCTATTGTGGATAGTTTTGAATAAGTTCTTTGAGACGTTGAAAACTGAAGTACTTGCGACATTGTCCATGTCTTAGACGTGAATTGAACAATTGTCACAGGTAAAGAATTCCTAAGATGCATCAGAAATAATTCATTCACAAAATATACACCATTTTAATGAATTGTTAAACAAAAGTATATATTTCATTCATAAAAACTCACTTCCCCCCTCTTTGAGGAACAGTTTATTATAGGATTTCTTATTTTGTTTGTTCATTCCAGGTATTGGAAGTTTGTGACAGATTCAACTTTGTGATATGAATCGTAACCCCTCCCATGCCTTGCATGGCAAACCCACCCAAGAATAAGAGGGTTCAACATTTTACTTGGACTCAGATTGGCAACAAATTCTTCCTAAAAAAAAATCCTGAAACCGTCATAAGAACAAGTTCATCAATATCTTATTAAAACTCATATTTACTGTCAAACATGCTTTTCAGTGGGTTGTTGGCAAACTTGTACTTATGAGGGTTTCATGAAAAGATGCCTGGCTCCCTCCATTGTACATTTTATTCTAATGTTTTTTATTTATCAACAATTAACAGATAACATTTTCACTCAAAGTCCATATATGAAACTTAGTTCGTTTATTAAAAAAATGCTTGAAATATTGATTTATGGAAGGGATTAAAATCTGGAGTCATTCTAAATCATAGTACACCCTGTCACATACATACACAGGAAGCACGATACACTAGTGTGTACCCATTTGTAAATATTTCATGCACAACTTATGAGTTACATAAAAATTATCTAGTACTTAAGATATTTATGATTTACAATTGCTCACCATAATGTTTATCCATGTATTTGCTATTGGACACACGTGTTACAATTACACGGGGGAGGGGTAGGGAGGGGTAGGGATTGGGGGGGGGGGGGGGGTAAGGAGTGTGTTTTGATTGAATTGCACATGCTACACTGTTTTTTCTTCTAGTTTGTGTTTTTTTTTTGCTAATGATTTTTTTTTTTGATTTTACAGCACCTGCAATTTTGTTTTTGATGAAGAAATTAACCTGCAAGTATTCAGAGATGAAAAGCATTAAAGATGATGATGATGTTGTACATGTTTACTGATTGTAATGAATGATGTATCATGTTTGGAGCCAGAAGGCTGTTAACTCCAATCCTTTCACACAGAGTTAAGATCCTTCTCGCCCCGAGCAGGTGATGTCATGCTCTAACAAACCACCTTGCATTGAATATTTAGAATAGATGCCTCAAAGCCCCACTGTCCAACTTGTAGCTACTTGCTCCCTCTATATAGAAAACAATGCCTAATCGGTGACCATTGGTCCCCCATGATCCTCTTTTTCTTATGTTAATTGAGAGCTGAGTTGATGAGATAACCACCTGTCAGTGACCTTGCAGGGAGGTCTAATCCCTCCTGGCCAAACTAGTGCAGCTGGCCTTTAATGTATGAACTTAACATACTCTCAGTTCAGAGCCAGTTGGGGGTTAACTCAGTGTGTAAGTGCATGAGTTAATGCCCTTCTCGATTCAAACAGACGATTCATCTCTTAAGATATTTCTCTTCTAAAATCATAAAATACACAATTTTTAGTTGAAGTGAACACGAAGTGCAAATCAGTTGGAATGTATTCCATCTGATCATATGGGAATTCCAGTTACCTAGAAGGAAAGCAGAAAAATAAGAGAGATAGATGAAAGTTAGAATCAAATTAGATAAACAAGACAGTTAGGAACGTTTGAGAATTGAGATCTCATGGAAAACTGAACTTTGATAATGGCTTTGTCATTCAACTGTGACATTTTAGGGGGAAACCAATTCTTTTGTTCTACACTGTGTTATCAGTAATGTCCCCCTTTTCTTCTTCTCTTAATTACCTTTTCCATCGGAGCTGTATGATGTTTTACAGGTCCTCTAATAAATGATAAAAAACATAATTAATGACAAAAAAGTATATAGGTATATATTTTAGTAATTGTATGTGTTACAATTACTTGAAAAGTTGGCAAACAAACATCACAGGAATATTTGTAATTTGCCATTTTGATATTTTGTGAATTTTAACTTCAAAAAGTCTTATTAATTTTGATTCATCTGGTTTTGTTTAAACTTTCTCAAATTTGTTCCACTCAATTCTGTGCATTATTCAATGCAATTTTGAACTTACTTTGTCAACTATATTTTCTATTGTGCAAACAATTGATATATGAAATGGAATAAATTCAAATCAATCAATCGATCAATGTCATATCTCAAGATTGGATTGCTGTGATAGTGCAGCAGATACGTACTTTCTATTCTTTTAAGAAGTACAAAACTGAAAGTGAAGTGAGTTAATGATTATGATTTCCGATGTAAATTCTAGAAGCTGCAATTATCACAAATGATTGTTTAATGATGACTGTTAATGATACTATTAAACATTTCGTCCTTGTTTTCACGAAGTGACGGTAGTGAGGAAAATCGTAACGCAAAGTGAATGCAATTTTTTTTCACTACCGTCACTTCGTGAAAACAGCGAGGATTTGTGGTATCTTATGGTCTATATTTGATGGGTGTGTTTCCACCGAGGCATTTTATTTAGTGCGTTAACACTAATGAGTAGCCAGCTTCTCCACACAATGCCTTTTATTTTCCTTACAGAATGCATGCAGCCCTCAGATAGTGTGAACACTCCTTACATGTAGAGGTAGCATGGCAACATGGAATTAAATTAGATCAGTGTAAACACACCCAATCACACGGATCAGTGTTTCGATATGTACAGTGTATATACCCATTTGTCTTTCTTTGATTGTGATGTGATTGTACACGCAGTAGAACGATTCATCTACTGGCTGTCAATGGAGTATTATATCAGATGTGAACAGGGCTATATTGTTTCTAAGCCTAATGTGAATGAAGCTGTGTTCCCACTGTCAGTAACCTCATATATTTGCAATTGCTAAGATCCACAGCTTGGAGCCAGAAGGGCGTTAACTTTGTGTTATATTAT